ACATATATAAAATAAATATAAAATATAAATATATTTTAATAGCATTTAAATTAAATACAATAAAAATTTTTAATAAAGTTTTTAAAGAGACATAAGATGCGCGTGTACATATAATATGTTTTAAAATTAACATTCTAATTTCCATAAAAGGGTTTCTGTTTTTTAATAACTTTTTTTTTAATTATCTAAATTTTTTCCAAACATTTGGTTTAACGAGATTATGTTTTTTGATAGCATACGCACTGCTACCTCATCATGCACGCTCGCGATCAGTGCGATCTTCTCTCAATCTAATAATATATCCAATCTTTTTCTCTTTATGTTCCAATACATTATATACACGTAATGTTAAAGCCTCAAAAGATCAAGGAGCTATCGAACAAGGTCAAAAAGGTAATTACGAGTGTTTTCCGCCTGTAAATCATTAGGAAAATATATGCAGTATATGGATTGCGTTAACTGCTATTAAATATTAAGTAACAAACGCGGTTTTGATTGCTGAGCTAACTTCATGCAATCAGCCTTCTCAGATCATATGATTGCGAATGGAAAGATAAAACACTGAGTTGCGATTCACTTGCGTTTACATTTAGGTTTCATCGAAGAGGCACATGATCTTTTCACTTCTAATTCTGAAAATGGAGAGCTTTCATATATGCCGAATGCAGCTTTTTTTGTATCGCAATTAACAAGATAAAAGTTCATTGCTCGTGCATTTTGCAATTATTTTCACTTGACATTGAAATATCAGTGAAATTCTTGATTTTTACATCTCCTTGCACTCAAATTTGTTCTAATCAAAGACACACACTAACCGACATTTCTTCCAATTTTCGATCTTGATGTTATCAAAGTAAAACATTTTCTAGGAGAGTATCCCTTTCAATTTCTAAAGTGACTTTCAAAGCGATTTCACAAAGCTTTTCTAATATATGCTCCGACATTCATTATGAAGCTCGCGCAAACTGGATGACAGAATTTTGCCTCTGTGAAGCCGTGATTAGGCTGTCACCACTACCGCCGCTATTCCTATATTCGCTCTCCATGGATTGAAGAATCATCTTGCTACGTTTCCTAGGCGGCAAAATTAACGTTTCCCGTGGTGGTATTACTAGATCCAAGGCCAAGTCAGGTGATGATGCTGGGCTCTCAGGATTACTGCACGGTGGCGTGAGTAACGGATCTCGATCAATTTTGACAATCCTGGCACCATATTCTTGTCTTTGTCGCTCTTCCTCAACCGCTTCTAAGGCAGCCTCAACTCTTCGGCGCGCGTCATTACCCGGCAAATTCAAAAGAGATGAGCAATCGGTAGTATCGAGATGAACACTGTCATTGGTGGTTAAACCGAAACTGGCATACGCTGGTTCGGGATAGAAAAACACGTGATGAGTCATTGGTTCCATCGGCGCACTTACCACCACGCTCGCTTGAAAGCGCTTCTCGTCGATATCAGCGAACACAACGGGTTCTACTGTACTCGATGGCGATGTTACTATTGGTTGTGAATACTGCTGCTCTCTGTTATCGGAATAAAGGTAGTATCCAAAGTCGCGTTGAACAGTGTAAGCGTTCGATGTTGAATCCGAATAGGTCTCTTCAGTCTTCAGATTTTCCTTGTCATCGACAGCGATATCTGGTAAATCTAGAATCGTGGCTGGATCAAGGTTGCTACTATTATTGCCACCGCTGCTCTGAGAAATCTCAACATCCGGTTCAATTGGCGAAGTGATCGCCGTTGGTGAGGAGATGTCGCTGTCTGTAATAGTGGAAGTGACGGATGCCGGGGATTCCGGATGCTTCTTGATATGCAACTCCATCGTCTTTTTGGAACCAAAAGTCTCATTACAAATCGTGCACTTATACACCTTTTCGCCATAGTGCGACACCTGGTGCAACTTCAGTACGTGGTTGTAGCCAAATGCCTTGCGGCAAATGTCACAAGTGTAAGGTTTCTCGCCAGTGTGGGTACGCGTATGCACTTTCAATTGTTTGGAACAGGTGAAACCTTTTTTGCACGATTTGCATACATATGGCTTTTCGCCAGTGTGCGTGCGCATGTGTATTACCAGTTGGCCGCTTTGTATGAATGTCTTAGCACATACGGTGCATTTGTGCGGCCGTTCGCCAGTATGAATGCGCATGTGACGGTGCAGCTTGCCACTATGTTCAAACGCGCGTCCACACACGTCGCATTTGTACGGCCGTTCCTTCGTGTGGATGCGCCGATGTACGCTGAGATTTTCCTTCACCGAGAACGACTTGTTGCAATACTCGCATTGGTACGGTTTTTCACCAGTATGGGTACGATAATGACGCGTCAGTCGCGCCGGTACCGCAAATGTCTTGCCGCAGATGTTACAGCGATATGGATCCTCGCTCTCCTTACCATGCGATCTCAAATGACTCTGATATACATTCTTCTGCGTAAAGCTCTTCTGACAGAGTAGACACTGATATTTTCCGATCTCCGCCGTTGGACTGGCCAGATCTGCGGCTTCAGCTCCACTGCACCCCGATGTGGTCGCGAATATTGTGAGATCCGGGCTGCACACTAAGTTTTTCACCGAACTCATCGTTTCTAAACTGGCAGTCATGCTGTCCGGCGCCGAAATTGACATCACTGGATTTGATAGCACAGACTCCATCTGACAGTAGTCCAACATCGAGGATGAAAGACTAAAATAAAAATATTTAAAAGATCGACTTGAGAATCTTTTTTTTGTTTGTTTACGTGAATGTTTCGTAACTCGTGTTTCATATTGTATGATTTGATAATATCATAATAATAATACAATTACTCTAATTTAGTATCTATAATTTGTTTGAAATGAACTTAAAAAATACTCAAAAATATACATATTTATTTATGCATGTTTGTATATGTTACCTTAAATAAAAGCGAGAATGGTACACTCGCACACTATTGCAATTGCCCATTGCCAATCACTAGGGAGTTTTTTCTAACGCTGTGATTGACTTGTGTGCAATTGGCTTGTGTGCAATTGATATACTTAATAAAAGCAATACTTAATTTATATAAAAATCAAAATATGATTTATCCTTCTACAAAATTGAAGAATAGAGAAAGATTAGAAAAAAAAGAGAGTTCCAAAAACACACATCGCTAATTGGCCAATTTAAAATAAAATATTCTCATTGGTAAAGCAATGAAAAGTTATTAGGCACCAGCCGATGTGAATAGATGTGCTATTGCACTATGAGCTAATGGAACCCTCCCGAAAAAGAATATCCTTTGAATCTGAAAAAGAGGTCACAACTGGTAATATAAAAATAAAATCTTTTGGAATTTTCGAGAATATAGTTTTAAAACAGAAATGAGATGAAATAAGAATTTACTTTGTAAGTCGGGAATAAAGAAAAGAATTTTTTTCAAACATTATGTGCTGACTATACTATCTGAAATACGTGCATTTCAAATGTGAGGCCTTATACATATATGCAATTCTGCCATTAAATGGCGCTTCTCGTAAAAAAAACAACTAGGTCTTATAAGAAGATGTATGCAAATCGAATTAGCAAGTCTTCCGGAGACTTTCAAGTTTTGAAGCGCGCATTCTTTACTGACCCCTTTGGAAGAATTGTAACCATCATTTTCAGAATTGTAACGGTCATATATAGTATTTTATTATGTATAATATTTTCGGCTCGAATAAGTTTTGCACCAATCTGGATTGGATTAAGATTGTTTTGTGCTCTACTATTGGTAGAGCACATAATCAACCAATAATAAAGTTTTTCAATTCAAATTGATGTAAATCTGATCGGGCCAAAAACGCTAATAGAAATCAAATAATACTGATACAAAAATGATGATACAAATCGGAATGAGTGATCACTTGAGAGAGAGTACGATAAAATTTATTCTCGAATGTTTTCATTCAGATAAAATAAAATTTTTATTAATTGTTTAAACAAATTATACGTGATAATCTTTATTTTAAATTCATAACTCTATGAATAAGAAAAAGAACATAGAATACTTATAAATAACAGTAAATAAAAAAAAAATTAATACATTTGAAAATCACTTTTTTTCAACTATATTGCGTTTTTTAATTAATTCTCAATTGTTTTAATTTATGTGCGTGCGTGCGTATGTGCGTGCGTGCGTGCGTGCG